CCCCCCCCCCCCCCCCCCCCCCCCGCCTTTCATCTTGCTGCAGCAGCGTTGCAGACCCCGGTGCGGGGGCAGCGCTTCCTCCCGGGGGGGGGCACAGCTGCCTGCCCCGGGGACACCCGCCGGGAGGCAGCCAGCGCCAGCCACGATTGTCGGGAAATCAATGGCCGGGTTTCCCTTTGCTGTCTGCAAATTAGCACGAGGAGCCGGGGCGGGCGCGTAATTAAAGAGGGTCACGGCGCTTCCGACAGTGCCCGGGCGACGGAGCCTAATTGATCCGGCTCCAGCCTCGGAAGAAACTCGCCTGGTGCCGGCCGCCCGGGAAAGCCGGGCCCGCAGGGCCTGCGGGGGTCACGGCCAGCCCAGCCCCCGCCCGCAAAGTGCCCCTGCCCGCCCGCTGCCCCCGGGCCCCAGCCCTCCCCAGGGGCAACCGGGGCTGGCAGCGCCCTGCTGAGACCCCAGGCAGCGGCCGTGCCCCCGGCCCATCCCAACCCGAGCAAGGGGTGCGAGCCCTTCCTGACCCCAAATGCCGACACCCCCGAGCCAGGAGCTTCCGGCTCGAGGAGGCGCCCGGCTCCCCCTGGGAGCGGTGCTGGTGTCCGAAAAATAATAAAGCGCAGCCGCAATTCCTCGCCGATCAGCGCACCTGCCAGGAGGCATCGCCGAGCCCGTCCATCAGTGCCCGACTGCCCCTCCTCCCCGCCGGGGCCCAACGTGCCTGCTCCCGGCGCTCGTCCCCCCGTGTCCCGAGGCGGCAGGGCCGATCCTGGCAGCAGGTGGGAGCCGTGCCGGGGGGACACGCTCCCCCGGGGAGGATGGAGGAGCTGGGGGGGCTTCCCCCTTCGCCCTGGGGCCGCCGCCGCGCCGAGCACCCCCCGGACGACACGAAGCAGGCCCCCGCCCAGCGACGGCCGCACAGACCCCAGACCCGAGCCCTACGTGACCTGCCCCGTGGGTCTCAGCAGCCCCTGGACCTGCCGGCCGACATGCATCCCGCCGCGGGACGTCCGACGACACGCGTGGGCGTGCGGGACAGGACCTGGCTGCACCAGAGACGCTGC